GGACAAAATTGAGCCAGAGAGGCTTTGCCCCCCAGGGTGGGAGGGTGGGACAAAAAAGTTTTGCGCCTAGCAGACGCTTCGAGCAAAACTTCACATGCACATGCTGGCTGAAGAGAGCACCGCATGGACAAGCTTAGATGCACACAACTCTTCCGTTCACCCATGCCCGAAAACAGAATTCAGGAAATCGAAAACAAACCTGTTTTAGGACATGCATCATGTGCAAAACAATTTTTATGTAAGTCCCACGAAAACATGTCAAACTTGAAAGCACCTTTGGCCACTAATTTTTTTCCACAAAAAAAATGCTCTAGGAAATAATGCATTCGCCCATCAAGATGGAAGTAGTGCTTATTTCCTCTAGCACCGTGGCCAAGTAGGTTCAAAGGTAATCAATCACTCGAGGTACACAGGCAAAACTCATATGAGTGATGACGACCTAAACCGGATGCACCCGCGTGAACATCCATCAAATATGTATTCAAAATAATACATACTCGAAATATGTCATCCCATTCGGCGATGTCATCTATAAATAAAAACCACAGAGATGCAGCAGTCACAGACTATGCCCCCTCTGAGAGCACACGCTTTAGAACGTCTTCCCACTGGACTCGCATCCAAGAGCAGCCGGAGGCAAGCAAGGCATGCACATCTCCTCTGCTCGGCGCATCTGCCAAGTTAGAAAAGGAAGGAACCCTGCTGAACCACGGCTTTAAGCCCAGCAAGTTCTCGTCTTTGAGACACTCACACAAGATCAAATGGCCGAGGCCGTGACCCCCGGTGGCGGCTTGCAAGACATCCTTGGCCCCAGTATTGTCGATGTAAATCACGATCTGGGAGTGCCTTATCCACTCCCTCCAGATCATGTAGGAAGCAAGAACAGGCAGCAATTCCAACTCGAATATTGGATTTTCCGAGTTTTCACTCAGCGCCTGCATGAAGCTGTCCGGCAGACGTTCTGAAAAGAATGAAATGGGCTCCCCGTGTAAACCTATTACAACTCCCCCTATGGAACCCACCTTGGGATGACCCTCACACGCCCCGTCGGTGAAGAGAATGAAAGTCCGCTCCGACTTGTAACTCAACTCCAACGGACGAGCTGTGGCTAGGCGATCAAGCAGTGCATGCAGAGCACGTATAACATCGGCAGCCAAACAACCTTTGGTGGCGCCCGACCTTGCCGCACGGTCCATGCACCTAAGCGCCGTGCTTGGGACTCTGCCGAAGACGAACCCCTCAAAGAAGCACATCCGCCCTCGCAATTGCTCGGACTGCTTTGCAATGAGCCTATCTGCCGTCAGGATGCCCTGGACCTCCTCGGTGATTTCCTGCACTCTCTCTTTTGTGTGTCCCACGCGCACAACTCCTTTAGGAAAATCAGGCAAGTCTATGACGACTCCTAGGAGTTTGAATTGCCTCGAAAACCCTAGGGCTTTGAGCCTTCCTGCGCAAAGTTTACCCCTAAAAGGTCGAACAGTGTGCCGACGGTCTGCTCGGTATTCACAATGAGCTCGTCACGTGAGATGCTCCCAAAATCGTCAAAGAAGGCACTCCAAACTATTCTAAGAACCATGAAACCCACGAACCACCCTCAAAAACCTGGCGACGGAACCAGCAGCTCCGAAGGGCAGCGCGTTTATGCCCAGGAAGGTAGGGGAGCTTTTGCCCGGTTCGTTCACGGCTATGCGCACTAGGTCCCGGTCCGCCTCCGAGACACCAAATTGCTTGTATGCGGACTTTAAATCAAAAACCCTCCCAGAGCTGGCTGGGATGGCCTCCGGCGCCAAGGATGCTGCCTTCAACAACATTGACGCTAGCCTGTCGGCCGTGTGAAGTTGAAAAGCCTCTTTAAGACCAGCGGCCCCGTTTATGCCGCACACCGATAGGTCGTCTATGACACGGAGTTTCCCGGCAGAACCCTGCAGTATGCCAAATCGCATCCCTGTGCATTGCTTGGCTTGGTCAACATGCTCGTCGCGGAACATCCAACCCTTTTGCAGCTCCTCGCAAGACTCCGACCAAGTTTTCTCCTCCAAAACTGGATCTTGCCTGTTGCTAAGGCGCTCCAAAGTATGGGCATTGAGGCCCCGTGCCATCTTTTTCAAGGTGCTGACATCAAAATCCGGGGCACGAACCTTCGGCTCGAACAAGCCACCTTGCTCAAGCCAACCCGTAAGATTGAAGCCCTTCTTTATATCCTGAATTAGATTGGTGTCCGGGAAACGGCACTCTTGGTTTCTCTTCCCAGAGGAGTAGGCGCTTTCCTCGAAGTGTTTCCTGAAGATGCGGTGGGAGGGACCTGTGCAACTGCTCCTCTGCTTCCTCGAGCTCGGCCGCGTCCAGCGTCCCAGGATGGCCTTTTAGCCGCGAGTTTGGCAGGATCCCACAAAGTTTTCTTTTAGGACGTCTACGGTTTCTTGGTCAACAAACCTTGCTAGATTCTTGGGGTGCCCTGCAGCCACCGCCCTTTTCAGGAACTCGCCCGGTGGGGACGGCACTCCCACCTGAAGGGTCAGCCATGCTGCAATCTGTGAAGTCACTGAAGACGAATCCCAAGTTGCATCCGGGTGCTGTAACTGAGGCGTACCCCTATGAAGAGGTATTTGCAGGCAAATTTTTGCACCTTTTGGGAAGTTTTTCAGAAATTTATCGGGGCTAAAACCATGCAGGGGGATTACGTGCCAAACCTAGGACCAAACTCTGGGACTAAGGGTTTAGCTTTGCCTCCTCTAGGCAGTATACCGATCGTCACACGTGTGCGAAGTTGGCTGTTGTTCATCAGTTGCTCACTCAAAGAATCACACTCCTGGAAACCTTTTTGCAAGGCGTGCTCTTTCAAGAGGGTTGCCACCGTTGCGCAAAACTTAAGGGGGTAAGAGGCTTCTTCATGGGCTGGGAAGACCATGCGGCCACGTACCAGCTTCGATTTCCAGGAAGCATGCTCATGGTCATTCTGGCACCTAGCCTCCAGGGCTTGCAAGCAGGACAGAGTAGTCCACACTGAGGTGAGCTTTGGACGAGCCCCACCATGGCAACAGTTGTGGAAAGTGACGTAAAATGCATGCAAGACCTCCTTGAGAGGAGCAGAGAAAGAGGTCTCCCAGTCAAGGGAGTTGGTCGGGTTCTCAATTGCGACGTGCAGCTGAAGCTTCAGTGCCTCACGAACAATGGCAGTCACTTGTTCATACAATTGGTTTGATTCCTCGACCCTTTGCTTGTCTGTAGCAGACAATTTGCCCAGTCCATCTGGAAAGGCGTCATTGCGAAGAGGCACCGGAACTTTCAGGCCCGCTTTTACGAAGGATGGCAACGGCTTCTCACGCGCTCGGCTCGCTGTGCCGCATGGAGGAGCGATCCAAAGGAGCAGGATGTTGTCTTTCTCGGACCTCAAAAGTTGAATCAAAGTGTCCAGCTGGCCTGGCTTTGTTAAGTCCAGGCTTATGCTCTTTATGCCAGACGCCCGTTTTGAGGTTTTGTCAATAGGAAGGGCCCTCATCCCTGCCTTTTTGACTGCTTTGGACAACACAGCAGAGCCTGCACAAACCTCAATAATCAACGCTCTGCTCAGCGGTGCGGCTTTAGAAGCGAAGTCTGAGGCTATGGCGGCGGTTGCGGACGCTGCACAGGGGGTTTCAAGTCTAAACCCTAAAGTGGAACCCGGTGCCAGGGAATTGGCGGTTTTGGTTGACGCACGAGAAGAGTCCTGTGGCCCTCGAAGCTTTGACACTCGACTCGGGCCATCCACACATTGGGTTTGAGGACTAAACCTTAAAAAGGGAGGTTCAGGAGGGAATGGCTCTGGGCTCCAAGCAGCTGGATCAACCTGCGCCATTGGACGAAATTCAAGCGGGGGTGCAGGACTAAACCCTAACCCTGAACTAGGGTGAACCTCAATGTCTGTGGGTCTCTGCACTTGCACACGTTTGCTGCTCGACGAAGATGAAGACCACGCACCTGGAGGAGGGGTCAAAGGTTTAGGCGGCTTGATAGGAGGAGTGTCATTAGGTCAGTGACCTGGAGGATTGAAACCCAACTGTCGCAGCTGCTTCAGGGACTGAGGCGACAGCTTCTCAAGATTTCGTATGGTGAACGCTGCAATGACCACACGCCTTCCCTTCGAGGGCATCACAAGGTGCGTGAGCCTGGGATCAAAAGTCACATATAGTATTTGACATATAGTGTCTTCCACGGAAGGACACCTCCAGTCACATCCTTGCCATTGATATGCTTTGTTTCCGAACCCTGGCCCTCCGCCCGCACCTCTCCTCCGGAGAAGTCACTTAGGGGGGATACCAAGTTCAGGCTGCTAAGTTGATTATGAGAGTCGACATGCGGAGGGGCTGCCGGGCCATCATGAACATAGATGCTTGTGAAGTGAAAATTCGGGTCGCACAACTTAACCCAATTGCAAAAGGCTTGCACGGATTTCGGGAACTCATTCACTGTCCCTCTAAGACCACATAGTCCCCCATGTACAAAGGCACCTGCCCCGAAGGCAAGGCCGTTTGTGCGCACAGAATCAGTCTTTGATAAGAGGTCAAAGAGTTTGCAAAGGTCATCACGCTTCGGCGAGGAAGACATATTTGCAGCAAAAGTCTCTGGATCTAATTTGGCATGCACATCGGAGGGCAGATCAGAAGGGCTGCTGTCTGCCAGTCACTTACCCCTCTGGCGACAATGCGTAAAGCTGTGTCCTGCTTTATGGCAGTACGCACACACGTGGAAACCTTTGACGCACCTGGGAGCGGGCTTTCCTGGCTGGGTCTCGAGTGAGCAGCCCTCTTCTAGGTTGAACCCCAAGCAAACTGGGCCCTCTTTGATGCGACACGTGCTTCCCTTCAATGACTCCGGGATCATGGAAGAGGCTTGCTTATGCTTTCCAGCCTTTGCTTTGGCCTTGCTGGCCGGCCTTGGGACTGACGAAGTGGGAGGTGGAGGAACTCCCTTATCATTGCTAGCACTACTCCCATGCACAGGCAGAGCAACCAAGTGCACTACCGTTCTAGGGTCATTGACCAGCCTTGATAACGCCTCTGCCATGACGGGAACACCTGAAGCGTTCTTGGCGGTCACTGGAGGCTGGATTTCCCGATTCATGATCGTCCACACCTCTCTGTCCGCACGAATCACCTGTGCGACTGAAACTCTGGGCATGCCAGCAGCTGGCTCGGTGTTCAGATATGCCATGAGGGTCTGCGTGTACAGATCATGCTCCTTCCACGGAACGGGAACACTGATCAAGGGCTAGCCTCCTACGAATCAGGCAATACATGAGCTGAATTGTTGACGCGTGCTCCGCTTCTGGCACCTTGGCAGCTGTGCTGAGTCTAAGGGCCCCCGTCTCGGCTTGGACCAAAGACGTCTTCTCTTTCCCCAACATTTGCATCTCCACATCCCTTTTTGTGCACTTGGCTGGCGAAATCCAAGTTATGGAATTGCTCTCTGAAATCAGCTGGCACATGTCCACCAGCGCGTAACTAGGCTGGGTCTCACCCTCAACGAGGACCCCCACTAGCCTCTTGCGCTGCTCCACTAGTCTGGCTTGCTTCTCCACGTGAGGCAGCTTGCGGCCCGTCACATCTGCATCGTCTGCAGTGGCTTGGGTTTTCACATGAGCTGTGACTAATCTAGCACGTTCGAAAAGGAGCATCCGCATGTTTGCCACCTGACCAATGGTGGCCGAAGCCCCTTCCGGAGTGGCGTCAACCTTTTCCGCAAGATTCTTCACAGCATCATCTGTGGGTGACTGATTCGGACTGCCCGCGCAAAATGCCATCTGTCTGGAAGTAGTGACTCCCTGCGCCTTCAAGGAATCAAAAAGTGTGTCATCCCCGGACAGAGAATGACACCTCTATTTAAAAGACGCTGCCGAACCTATAGCTGCCATGCTTGCATCCAAAACTACGGTCACGCACACGGCTACAAGTTTGTCAACGTTAAACATGAAACATTGCCAAGCAGGTCAAGACAATCCACAAATCTGATGGCACTGCGCACAAACTTTCAAGCAGATGACGCTACGTGTACACACTGCCTGCACACCGAAGTATCATACTGCAAATCCCCAGGTGGGCCATAGGCACTTGTGACCATTCTTCCACACTGGAAGCGATGTTTGTGCTCAATCTTGATGATATGGCCCACTCTACTGTTTGCATGCCTCAAGAAGCGCATGCCATCTGGTGGCGCCGGCACTTCGAGCCTCGCAAGAAAATTTCTGGGGGCCTCGCATTCGCTTGCCTCATCCGAAGACGAAGACCCAACGCATTCATCTTCCGGAGCAGCCCTTGCGTCCCCTCCCGCAACGATATTATTCTCTGGTCCAACCTCGGTGGAACTTCCGGCAATGGACCAAGAGTTGAAATTCTCATTTGTTTCCTCACCCCACTGGCCCTCCGGTGGCTCATCCCCCTGGGGAAGTTCACACTCGGCGCCTTCTGTTGGAGGCAGATGGAACTCTTCGGATTGTTCTGGAAAATCAGGCACATACGCTTCGTCATGGGACCTAGCCGGCTCATACCAATCCACCTCCAGGCTTTGTGGCTGTTCTTGCCATCGCTCCCAAGGCGCATTCCACCTACCCGACCTCGTGGCGTCCGGCATGAACTCCATGGATCTGACACTTTGCAACATGATTGAGAGCTCGTGCAATGGCCCTGCCGCGGCATCGCTCGAGTACCTAAAGACTGTCGAATTGCTACAAGCGTGATAGCCCAAGCATGCTCTGACTTCGACGGTAGCCCCAAACTTGGCCATCATGCTCAACAGCGTGCACTTGCATGAATGGGAACTGATCTTTCTATCTTGCGGCACTTTCAAGCAAGGATCAACTTTGCAGTCCTTCAAAAGGTTTCTCATCCAAGCTGACATCTCGGCCGAGTCAAGGGGCCTGAGTGACGGCCTGCCATATTGGTCCGGAGCAGGCATGACGGGATAACCTTCCCATGGGGTGAAGCCCACACTTTTGCATCTCTCAACCCAGGCTCCTATCCACTGTCTAGCATCAACTCGCAGACGCGGAGCCGTCATCGTCCGAAATAGAAATTTCTGCAACCTGGTCTGCATAGTCTTGTGCCTGGCCGTGGTTACATCAACATAAATTGGATCATCAACGGACCCATCAAGAACCAAAGTTTCACTGCACTGCAAATCCATCCACCTGGCTCGGCAGTAGACGGCCAACAAAATTGCTCCTGCCATGACAGCGTTCCAATTCTCCTGTGCTGAATGGACAAGCTCATGCAAGTGCAGAAGCTCACAAACAAGCAGTGGTGACGCCTGGCCCTTTGACAAGTACCCGATCTCGAAACAAGAGCCCCTACAACGCCTGCTGACAGTGAGGGTATGGCACTCCTCGACCCCAAGCACATAGCAACAAAAGGCCAACGCTTCCAAAATGCCTTTCCTGCAGGACACGCTCTTGCCAACCTTGCGCAATTGTCTCAAGACGAAATACAAGTCCACCTTATGCGGAGGGAACCTTTTCCCCAGCTTTGCCAACTCTTTGTCCAGCAAGACCCAAGAATTTACCCGCTTCATGAGGGTCGAAGGCGCTTTGCGCTTAAGGATATCTCCCAGAACCTCTAAACCCTCACTAAGGTTTGGGGTGCAAACCTGATCCACAATGTCGAGCCTAACTTCCCACGAGCAGATCAGCGCGTACCGCCTTTTGAGGGCTTTGTTCAGCTTGCCTTCCAATTGCTCTCTCGAAGACAAGGCGTCCACCTGCTTTACGCACGACATGAAGCTGGCTTCTGATGGCTCACTGCTGCTGGCAGCCGTGCTCGGAAGATCAAGAGAACTAGTGTCACCATCACAAAATTTCAGCCTTTTCCAAGCCTGCTTTAGAGGATCTACTTGCTTCAAGAAAAAATCCAACGGGTCATCTGGATCCTCGGGCCTGAGGCTGCCCCATGCCTGTCTAAGATCCCATTCAAACGACTGCTGCATTCTGAATCCGCCCCTGCAAAACAATGCAGCGTGAATTGAAGAGCCTTTTTAAGACGGTGAGCTGCCAGGACCTGTTCCACCTGAGCAAGACTCCTGGCAAGGTTGGCAATGGCAATGCTTTGCAAAGTGCTCTGCGCGTTGCGTTGCTCGAGCTCTCGATTGAGAGCTATGTTGATGTGCTCTGCGGTCGCAAGTTTTTCCTCAACCTGCCCTAGCCTCTCGGCGTGACGCGCAATGGCTACTTGCAAAGCGGCTATGTCGGACTCTAGGTCCCTCCTTTGATGCTGCAAGTTGTCAGCCTTGTCTTCAAGCCAAGACACGGAATCTTGGGATTGGGTGAAAGCCTCTTGCAGCCTTCGCAGGCGCACCTCTATGTTGAAGATATGGCGGCTCAACACAGAGTTGGAGCTCAAGCTTTCAGAAGTTTAGGACGCCTGGTCCGGAACCGTGGCAGGAGTATCGGGATCCTCAATAGGATCTGTGTCCATGCGCTGAGGTAGCTCCCCCTCAGCGTGCACGCACCCTAGCGGTGAACTGGTGTTTACCGGGGTGCTTCGGACCTCTAGAACACGGCTTACAAACCTCTAGAGGACAAAAAAAGTTTTGCGCCTAGCAGACGCTTCGAGCAAAACTTCACATGCACATGCTGGCTGAAGAGAGCACCGCATGGACAAGCTCAGATGCACACAACTCTTCCGTCCACCCATGCCCGAAAAACAGATTTCGGGAAATCGAAAACAAACCTGTTTTAGGACATGCATCATATGCAAAGCACTTTTCCTTTAAGTCCCACGAAAACATGTCAAACTTGAAAACACCTTTGGCCACTAAATGTTTTTTCCACAAAAAATTGCTCTAGGAAATAATGCATTCGTCCATCAAGATGGAAGTAGTGCATATATGGAATGATGAGCTGTGCAGAATGTAAGTACATCGACGGCCCCTGTATTTCCTGTCGGCTAGCCAGTATCTTCATCTATAAAATCGATGCATCATACGCAGGAAAAACAATGAAACATGAAATAATGCTTGTCATTCGCGGAAAAAATCATAGAATTGTTGAGCAACATACATTGCTCATCCCAAATGTATTACAGACAAACTTTACTTATTTGAGGAGAATAAAATGAAATCTAGATCTGTAGTGGTTATTCAATATACCATCTTCTGTACTATTATCTAATCATTGCCGGAACATAGTAAATGCAAGGATCAAAACAACAACGCTCATACTTTTGCTGCTCTGCCCGCAAATCATGGCAGTGGGCTACTGAGCATTGTTAGCCAGCTCCTCTCGCCCTTGCGAGTGGACTTGGCATTCGCGGCCGCCCTGAACTCCTCCGAGGTCACCTCAAGCAATCAGAAATACCAAGGCTGTGCTGGAGCAGATCCCTCGGGCCTGCCACCACGCTGGGACCTTCTTCTTTAGTCGCCGCTCCAGGCGGTGACGCAAGAAGGAGGCGATCTCTCCAAGAGGAGTTCTGAGCGACTTCCTGCAACATGTTACATGATCGGATAATGTATTTCACTAAATCATGCTCGAATCCAGCAGTCCTTGCGGCGTGGGGAGTCTCAGTGGCCCCGAAGAAGTCGGCCTGTTCAGTAAGCATCATTTCAGCACAACAAAGTACAGACCTTCTGCATGCCAGGAATTGAAAAATCAGGACGGCTTTTCGCAGAGAACTACAACACGCCTGCTTCTCGCCCGAGGACAATTCTTCCTCAGGGGAACCAGATGCCGGTCCGAACCACCTCCTCACCCACTTCCTCATCCAGCATGGCCGCCTATATCCGTGTCATCAGTCAGCACGCACAGGACATTCAAGAGCTGCAAATGATTCTGTTCGTCTTGCCAGCAAGGCACGAAATGCTTGAGGACCTTTTCACGGTCCAACTTGGCCGGCCTTGCCTTCCGGCCATTTGGAGGCTCCTCCTGTCCTCGCTTGCGTTTCCTGCAAACGAAATGAAGAAGTGCATGATCTGTATGCCAATATGCGAGTTCTACTAATAGTCATAATCGCAGGAGCACTAGTTATCACGACCGGCCTGCACACCTCCAGCGCTGCCACATTTAGCCGAAGCTGCTCAGCCATTGTAGCGGATGACCTATTCGACACGCCCAAAGATGGCTTAAAAATGCCGTTGTGTTCGTCATCAATGCAAAAAACATGTCCCTGCATTATTCCCGCTGGCATCCGCAGGGGCCTGCCTGGAGACATCCTTGCTGACATTCTTCGCTTTGGCCATTTTCCTACACTTTCGCAGCATGGCCAAAGTCCCTATCTTCTTCGGCGCGTTCATAGCCTCGATGGATCATCGTCACGCAAATGCTTGGATATGTCCCTCACTAAAACACTCATTCCAGAGGGTGTTGTGCTTGGCAAAAAGAATATGTGAAAAGCAACACATCAGCCGAAGTACGTTGTGTGCCAGGAAATTCCCCTCAATAGCGTCGTGAAAGAACTCTCCTGAGCCATCACCTGTCTGTTCCCGGAAACGGAAGACGCCATAACAACACGATATCATTAGGCATGCCACACATGCAGCTGCGTTACAGCACAGGGGATCAGACAGGTATCAACAGATTGATATTTCAATCGGATTCCTGAATTTAGAAAGAAGTTCTGATCTCAAGCATACGCGGTTCAGGGTTTAGGGTTTAGGGTTTAGGGTCCGCCAGCGCAGCGGGCGCCCTAGGCAATTGTGGCTCAAAGGGGGCCGAAGCACTTAACCCTAAACGCATTTTCCCGTTCTGGTTCTTGAGATTTTCCCGTTCTCGTTTTAAAAAACCGGTTTAGGGTTGAGGGGGCTTAGGGTCCGCCAGCGCAGCGGCGCCCTGGTCAATGTGGCAGTTAAGGGGCCTATGCCCTAAACCTAAATCCCACCGCGTGCCCTTTGTTACCTTTTCATCCCGGTATGTTCTGGGAAAATCCATCCGTTTGGGGCTTTTCCCCATGTTCTGGCGGGATTATGTTCCTCGCAGCCGCTTTACGTTCCCGTTACGTTCCGGTTACGTTCCTGGCATTTCCCCTTAGAACGGCAGGAATTACGTGCCGCTCACTGGGCTTTACGTTCCTATTACGTTCCTCAGATTTGGGGCTTCCCCCCATGCTCTGGTGGTACGGTGTGAAACTTACTTTCTAGGCTGGCTTGCTTTTGAGGATTTGCGCTTGTCGCCAGGCTGTGCCTTGGGTCGAGCTTTTGCGCGTCGACATTCCTGGCACAGCCCTGGTTCTCCTTGAAACTGATTCTTTCAAAACTTGTTCTTGCAAGTGAGCCATCCCTTCCGCTTTGTCATTCCCGTGAATCAATTCAAGCCAGCGTTGCTCGTTGGATTGCCGCACGCTCTGTCAGGTAGGTGCAGGTTGCAGGTTTGACATTTGAACCATCCAGTGGGCTGCGGTTGGGTGCATCTTTGATGCTGTTCTGGCATGATGTGCAAGCTGCACAGTTTTGCGGAAAGGTGACCATGGTGGTCTGAAACTGGTCGACAGGTTTGTTCTCGCCGCAAATTGCACACCTCAGCTCTTCCAGAGTGCGAAGGCAGAACAGGCAGCGCCGTTTGATCTCGGCCTGCTGCTGCTTCAGCTGCGCCTGCGGAAACCACTCCTTGATCTGCTGTCGCCGGCACTGGGCGCACCTCACTTTGCCTTTGGGCTGAA